GCTGTTCTGTTCTGTTGTGCTGTGCAACATTTTGCTACATAGACTATTTTATAGCAGAAAGCTAGAAGAATATTTATTATGAATATTAAAGCAATAGTGCATCAATGAAAAGGCGGAGACATTAGGAATTGTGTAAATGCTTAGATTCACTTTTGGTGGATTTTTTGTACTTTATTTATAACTAATAAAAATGAACTGCATTGCTAACTACACCTCACTTGTGCAGGGTGCTCATTTCTATGCAGACCCAGAGCGTGTCCAGACAAAGCCACTCACAGACCTCTGTGTCCAAGAGCTGAGGATACAGCAAGTGTTCCTTCCCTACTCATCTTCCCCCTCCTCCTTCCCTGTCTTTCTTCTCCTTCCCTTTCCCTCCCCCCTTCTTCTTCTTCCTCTGCTTCCTCTTCCTTCTCTCTTATTTATTATTTTATTTTACATCTTTATCTCTCAAGAATCTGTTCTGTGCTGTGAACCAACCATCGAAGTAACCTGCTTCCTAAACTTTAGTTTATGGGTCTTAACGGGGAAACTTCCCATTTTTTATCGATTTTCAAGTGTAACCTTTTGTGATTTGAACAGGAGGGTTCCTCAGTTTCCCTGTAGGGGAGAAGGAATTTAATTTTTGACAGTTGGTATGTATTTCTTATTCCTTTGTGAGAGCCCAGACTCAGATGCTCGGTGTTGTCTAGAATCTGTTCTCAGTGTGTGGGTCAGTGAACTGAAAGATGGCTTTTTTTCATAAAGTATAAACAGAACCTATGTTAATGAACTCTACATTTTTTTTAAAGTTTTTTTTTTAATTGGGGAACAGTATGTTTTTCCAGGACCTATCAAGCTCCAAGTCAAGTAGTTGTTTCAATCTAGTTGTGGAGGGTGCGGGGATCGAACCGGCAACCTTAGTGTTATGAGCACTGCGATCTAACCAACTGAGCTAACTGGACGCCCCAGTGAACTTTAAATAAAAAGTGATAAACTTTATTTTTACAGCAGCTTTAGGTTTACAGAAAAATGAGCAGAAGGCAGAGAGTTCCCATATACTCTCTGGCCACTAGAACCCAGTTTCTCTATTATTCACATCTTGCCTTAGTGGGGTACATCATGAAAATAAATGAGCCAATATTGATACATTATCATTGAGTGAAGTCCATAGGTTTACATTAGGTTAATGAATATTTAAATCCCTAGTTCTTTCTCAAGTGAGATGACCCAAAATTCTGTCTGGAGCTTTCCACATATTTCCATCTATGTCTCTCTCTCTCTCTCTCTCTCTCTCTCTCTCTCTCTCTCTCTCTCTCTCTTTTAAAAAG